TCAAAGCAATCCACAGGCACCCAGCAAAAGGCAATCCACAGGATGACTATCCAGTCAACATCACAGTTGCGTGTTAATTAACTTTACACCTTAAAACAATAAGAGGCTCTACAATCAAAAACCCACCAAACCGGTTTTTGAGAAGTACCTTTTGGTTCGCGTGTCCTTTGGCATCTGCAAGGAATACACATTCTCAGGCAGACACAGAAGCGATCAGAAACGCTTCCAAAGTTTAATGGACATACAGTAAAACTGTGTTTATTTGAGTAATGTATTTTTGCTTTATGTTTCTGTAGGTTTTTGTGTGTACATGTTCCATGTGTTTAACAAAACTGTTATAGATAGTTCTTGAGTAATAGCCCTCAGTGACAAATGAAATCTACAGAATGTTTATGAAATACTTCATGTTTGGTATTGATTGAAAGCTAGGAAAGTTTCAAATGCATTGGTTTATATGAAGAAACCATATTATGAAAGGTGTCCATGTTATGAGACTTTATTTTAACAACTATGCTATCAAAGCAGCACCGACACAATTTGCTAACCCGGCCTTCTAGAGGGCGGCATTCGGGTGTGACTCCACCCTGCACCTTCTCTGATTGGACAAGTATTGTGTAGACCCAGCCTCTACCAAAGCCTATAAAACTTTGAACAAAGGAATTTCATCGTCGTCTTTTGCCGGTCATCTTTGCCAGTCATCACCGCCGTTGCTGCCCGGACGTCGCTCTTCTCGTGCTGTGGCCGTTACATCGCCTCGCCGGAAGCCTCGTTACATCACGGAGTAGACCGCGACCTTCACTTGCTGCCGGCTCGACCCCCGATCTGCTTGTGCAACCGCTTCAACAACAAGCCATCGGGTCAACACATCCAAACTCTGAAACTCATCATAACTACAGGAACCCAGGAAGGACTTCGAACGCCGCCTTGTCCAACATCCGTATCCCTAGCAACCGACTAAGAAACCCCTCTTCACCGACAAGGGAATTCCATCACGTCACTGAAGTTGCTACGCTGACCAATCAGCTTCGCCGGGATTTCCCTTTGGACCAGTCGAGGAAACCAAAATTACATCAGAACGCAAGTAGCACAAACAAGGTTTCTACCCATTACTGAATCTGGTGTGAATTATGTTTAAGTAGTAAAGAATAGCAAAATTCTCTGCTTTTATGGTTTCTCTCAGGTTGCAATGCTAAGAACTTAGCAAAGGCTAGAAGTTAAATCCACTCAGCCAAAACTCTCCTCAAACTGCTTGTGCGTGTGTGTATGTATGTGCATTTGTTTGTTTTACGTAGATTAGTACTTTGTGTTACAGAGTAGCAATAAACTTTTGTTTCGTTTTAAGATCCGTGTTGGTGTGTTGTGTGCTTTATAAGTTAATGCCTCAGCTTCAGATACTGCTACCTTGCTCATTAAATAATTAGATACTGTTTTTATATTGTTATTGTTGGCCACGTAATAATATAATACAGAATTGCTTTACACTAAATGTTCTATTTGCTGGACAAATACTAAAGTTAAGTGTAAGCTTTAAATAATTCTATGTGAATCATGTTCGAATCTTTGATTCGAATCCCCAAAGTTTAAACATGATTTAAACCAAAGAGCTGATTCTTACATAGTGGTGGAGAATAATTCGGGCAAGCAGATCTAACTTTTAAAGCACAAAACCCAGAAATCACGTTGTTAATCTTTTCTATTTTTGTCCGGAAAGAATAGATTAGAAAGAACAGAAGTTTTGTTACTGCACAATTTTATTGTGGTACCATTTGTTTTATTGCTTGATTACATTTAGTGTTGTTAAGAAAGTAAAATGTCATTTAAATTGTCCGGGGAGACAAACTGTAAGCCGCTCTAAAGCGCATGTAGAGAAAGAGAAAGCGTATTCCTTTGTGCTTATTTCATAACGTTATATAAGGTCTTCACAGTATGATTTCGTACGCCGCGATTCCCGGATGGAAACTCAACTGTGTTTTCTCCTGGTAACCGATTTAGCATAGCTAACTAAATTCTTGTTGCCCTGTAATTTGCTAAGACCTAGTGAATTATTTAAATGCGGAGCTCAGAGAAAGCTGCCTGACGCAGTTTATAGGAGAAGTTTTGAAATTGATCAATTGAAATTGTGGTTTGAATCCACGGATGTGTTTGCAGTCTAAACAGACTTAACACAGAGTGCTGAGATCCCCCATATCTCTGTCACGATTTGTATTAATCTCAGAAATCCTGTTGATTAATTTATCTCACTTTCATAAGTTGAGAATCGTTCAGTACTGTTAAGATATAAAATCTAACTAGTGCTTTTTGTTTGAACAGTGTGAGATGCGCCGCCATCTCAAGTGATACTGTGAAATTTGCTATTATTCCACTTTGTGGTCGTTGCCATAGCAGCAACCTTGGTCCGGAAGTACAGAGAGACTTGCCTGAATTACATTCAAGCGCGCATGTGCAGTCCGCCAGCGCCAGCTTGAATTGTAAACAAAGAGCATAGCGTGAAGCTAAGCTAAACTAACGCTAACGCGTTTGCATTGAAGTCTATGCATTTCCAGTAGCAGCGAAGGCTAATAGATAGCACGTAGCATATAGTGGTCTTCAATGCATTGTATGGCTGATGTTTGAAATAACTCTTGCATCTCAGTTGTTTCTCTTTACTCACCTTGGAAAAGTTGACAAATGCAAAGTTAATAAAAGTGTGCACGACCTAACTGCTGAGTTTAATCACTATTATTTTATTTAATTTTTGTTTTTCCTGCTGTACCTGGCCTGTTGAATTTAATCAGTTTGAACTCACATAAGCTGTTGGTTTTATTAGTGATGAATTATAGTTTTGTTTTCATGACTATAAATTAACGCTCTCTGACTTATTCAATTATAAATACTTTTTCCATTCATCAACATCTAGGAACACCCATTTCCTATAATTGTTGATTTATACGGATAAGACTCACTGATTAAATAAATTATAATTGTTTAAATTAATGATAAACTGCATTAAATGTTACTCTAACCAACTTCAGTGTTTTGAAATTTTAATTTCATTAATGGTTCATTTATGCATGGCTCTATCATTTTAGCAATAATTAATAATTTAATTTAGTCATAAGTGTTCTTATCAATCTTAATGATAATTTATAAAAGTTATTACTTCTTTACAGGTTTAAAGTTAAGTTCAATTCAAATTTGAATTTAGTCTTTTCATCTAGTGGAGCCCTCCAATTAGCCAACTTCAAAAGGAAAATTTAGATTTTTCTACTACGTAGGCTAAGCAGTTACTATATAACACAATAAAACCAACACTTCTTGTAGTGTCAACTCGACAGCGCCACCGCTTTGACATCCTTAAATACACCTAATGCTAAGAGAAAACGAACTCCTTTGTTCTCTCTTTCTACTAGTTATCTTCTTTTAACTAGACTAATGATGCTGGTTTAAGGATTGTGCTTGTGAGAGTCAAAAAGCAGAGAATTTTAGAAACATTTAATAGATGTTTGGGACACTTGAACACTTTTAATTGTTAAAATTTTCTGATCTCACCCCTCCTTTCTCACTCATCAGGTCACCAAGAAGATAGGCGTCGTTAGATCCAATTCTAAACACGCATCCAGAAACAATTTATTTGGTGTACGGAGTCAATCCTATTCAGAAGCCAATACTGTTATTGTTGTCCTACTTTCTGTCACTTCAGAAGAAAGTTAATAGCAACTTCAGTCCTGGTATTTAGAAATCTTATTTTTATATTTAACAAAAGCTAAAGGAACCCTCTCTCTAGGATAGTGGAAACTACAGATTTTCACCCTACTCCTTAGTCTCCTTATCACTTTTGTTTTTCTTTGTTCTCTCACTGTGTCTGTGCTACTGACTCTTTCCACAGAGACTACCAGTTAGACACGCGTACCCACCAGAGGGCCACAGTTCCAGAGAACCACACTTAACTCAACATTAGAACACACTTAACATTGCACATTAACAATTCCCCTTTTCTGTTTGCATTGTTCTACCTTTTCTTCCTCTCTATCTCTCTTCAAGGTCTGTGTCAGTTAAAATCCTAAGTCCTCCCCCCGCCGCAAAACATGGCTCACTCCAAAGATCCTGTTGGCCACTGGAAGGACCTGGAAACGTGGCTGAGCGTTGTAACAGGAAGTCTCCTCCCTAAAGCTGCTGAAACACTGCAGCCCCTGATGCAAAACCAATTGGATGAGAACATAGACAGCATCATGAAGCAAGACCCAAGTCAAAGCTTCAACCACAAGGAGCTGGCCAAAATCACTGGTACTTTGAGTCACACACTCATAGCCACCCTCAAGTTGAGTGACAGACACGCCTCCCAACTCCAACACAAGCTGACACGCCTGCAAGCCCGCATCGAGCAGCTAGAGCTAGAGGCTCAGGAACGTCTGGAACAACCAAATGAGGTGGATGAAGGTACCACAGAGGAGATCAACAAACTACAAGAAGCCATAACAGCCATCACAGAACAAAGAGAACAAGCCAGAGCAGACCACGCTGACGACGCTAACAAGCTAGATTACGCTGAACAGCTACTGAAGGAAGCGAAGGTGGACTTAAGAGACAAGAAGGCCAGAATCAAAGCCCTTGAAACTCACCTGAGCGAAGCAAGACATGAGATCGACAGACTAATGCAGGAAGTGGATGACATCAAAGAGGAGTCCGCCAGTGAACTCAGGCATGCCTATGCACTGCGCTATGAACCTCCAAAGACAAGATGTGCACCAGCCTCGCCCCAGCCAAGCAGGACAGGATCCCCTGTCCCTGAGCTCTCACCTATTAAAAGAAGTGAGAAACCGTGTCAAAGATCTTCTCCGACACCTTCTGAAGAGTCTTACCTTATCCCACAGTGACGAGAGCCCGTGATAGCCAGTCACAGATCGTCATACAGTCTGGACCTTAAAGACCTTGACAAGCTGGCCAGAAACATTGGCAAGTTTACTCCAAGTGTGTCAGGTGGTTTGGAGGTCCATGCTTATTTGCAAGACATTGATTTCTACCTGGAAATGAGACCCAATGTCTCTGACAAAGAAAGACTATATTTGCTTCGAGCCACATCCAGCCCTGAGGTGCGCAGCTTCCTGGACCGACAGCCGGCTCGGGTAAAGAACGATTACCGTTTGCTCCAAGAAGCCCTCATCAGAGAGTTTGCAAACCCTGAATCAGATCAAGGACTGTTAAGTGCTCTGGAGACAAAACAAGCTCGCAATGAGTCCCCACATGCTTACTACAACTGACTCAGGCAAGCCTTTTTCGGAACTCGCAACGAACCGAATATGGAAGAAGACCTGAACTTTAAGATTCTCTTCCTGAGAAACCTCCATCCTGCAGTAAGCCAACATCTCGGAGTACTCGCATGCCCACGAACAATGAGCATCCAGCAATTGCGAGATTTGACACAGAAAGCCCACGACAAACAAAAGATGGTGTTAGAGAAAAACACTAAAACTGCCACAGTTTTTGACTTTAACACCCATCCAGAACTGGCACTAGAGGGTGCCCAACGCTCAAACAGCGTGAGACCACCATCCCCAGCGTGGAATGCGTCTTCGTCCAATAGACAACGGAACTCCTACGATGACACAAGACCTAAACAAAGGAACAGTCACTGGCATGGACCTCATGGACAACGACGCTCACCTGAACACCACCGGGAAAGAAACCAATGGGGGTCAAACAAAAGCTGGTCACCATCTAAGGGAAGACATCAAAACCCTGGATCATCAAGTCCAAGGAGTCAACGAAGGTACTCCAAAAACTTCCACCCTGACAACGCTCAGACTCAATCCCAGCAAGAGGAAAATGCCCCACCGGGATTTAACCCTCAAGAACTGGTAAAATTGATGATGAAAGAGTTTCTCAAATGCATAGAAGAGGACAGGAAACGGGAAAAGGAAAAAGCAGATTCAGCCTGACTAGTTGCCGAGCGGAGAAGCAACAACCACCTGAACCAACAAACACTTGCAGGTGAAAGCCCTCAGGCTCCCAAAAGTGCCGTTCGGGTCGTCTGCCACTCCTCCGACAAACCTCAGTTCAGTCCTGAAACCCTTCCTGACCCATGCCAAACTCCGCTACCTCCGTTACTGGATGAAAATTTGACTGCTCCATCATTGAACAACAAATGGGGGAGGACCACAACTTGACACAGATCAACTGTTCTACCCTCTTCACACTAACATAACCTTTGACATTCTAGGGAAACACCTAGTTAAACACAACACTAATACTTTCTCCTCTCCAGCACTGCTAGAACAACTTCTAGTAGAGAGGATCCACTCCACATTTGCAACACTGTTTTGCTGGTTTTTAACCTACCTTGTTTTGTTGCATCACTGTGCCTCTTCATTTCCTTTCTCTCTCTCTCCCTAACTAATTTGCAGTTCCAGTCCCCTCTACAGGGAACTCCTGCAAATTCATGCACAGGGCCTAAAAGTAGAATTGACTCCTTCTCCCAAATTAGTGTCAATTGCTGCAGAATTATTGCTTATTTAAGTTGAAGCTAGCGCCACTCCATACTCGCAATAAAGTAAACTAGCTAAATAACTAAATTTGAATTATTTCAGGCAATGTTACACTACACCTTGTGTTCTTAACCCGAACAATTTAAGCTAAAACCTACACCAGAACTCAGTCTATGGAATGGAAATGTGGTTTGTGTCTTGTGTTTCTGTTCTCTCTCTACCTATGCCTCTTGTTCCAGTGTCTGCCGATGTTCATGCCAGGAACATCACCATCCAAATGGGGGAAATGTTGTGAGTCAACGGATCGTTCCAGAACCGAACAAGCCACAGACCATGTTATCCTTAAAAGATTGGTTGGTGCCTACATGTCTGAGCTTTGATTTCATTTTCAAAGCAATCCACAGGCACCCAGCAAAAGGCAATCCACAGGATGACTATCCAGTCAACATCACAGTTGCGTGTTAATTAACTTTACACCTTAAAACAATAAGAGGCTCTACAATCAAAAACCCACCAAACCGGTTTTTGAGAAGTACCTTTTGGTTCGCGTGTCCTTTGGCATCTGCAAGGAATACACATTCTCAGGCAGACACAGAAGCGATCAGAAACGCTTCCAAAGTTTAATGGACATACAGTAAAACTGTGTTTATTTGAGTAATGTATGTTTGCTTTATGTTTCTGTAGGTTTTTGTGTGTACATGTTCCATGTGTTTAACAAAACTGTTATAGATAGTTCTTGAGTAATAGCCCTCAGTGACAAATGAAATCTACAGAATGTTTATGAAATACTTCATGTTTGGTATTGATTGAAAGCTAGAAAAGTTTCAAATGCATTGGTTTATATGAAGAAACCATATTATGAAAGGTGTCCATGTTATGAGACTTTATTTTAACAACTATGCTATCAAAGCAGCACCGACACAATTTGCTAACCCGGCCTTCTAGAGGGCGGAATTGGGGTGTAACTCCACCCTGCACCTTCTCTGATTGGACAATTATTGTGTAGACCCAGCCTCTACCAAAGCCTATAAAACATTGAACAAAGGAATTTCATCGTCGTCTTTTGCCGGTCATCTTTGCCAGTCGTCACCGCCGTCGCTGCCCGGACGTCGCTCTTCTCGTGCTGTGGCCGTTACATCGCCTCGCCGGAAGCCTCGTTACATCACGGAGCAGACCGCGACCTTCACTTGCTGCCGGCTCGACCCCCGATCTGCTTGTGCAACCACTTCAACAACAAGCCATCGGGTCAACACATCCAAACTCTGAAACTCATCATAACTACAGGAACCCAGGAAGGACTTCGAACGCCGCCTTGTCCAACATCCGTATCCCTAGCAACCGACTAAGAAACCCCTCTTCACCGACAAGGGAATTCCATCACGTCACTGAAGTTGCTACGCTGACCAATCAGCTTCGCCGGGATTTCCCTTTGGACCAGTCGAGGAAACCAAAATTACATTAGAACGCAAGTAGCACAAACAAGGTTTCTACCCATTACTGAATCTGGTGTGAATTATGTTTAAGTAGTAAAGAATAGCAAAATTCTCTGCTTTTATGGTTTCTCTCAGGTTGCAATGCTAAGAACTTAGCAAAGGCTAGAAGTTAAATCCACTCAGCCAAAACTCTCCTCAAACTGCTTGTGCGTGTGTGTATGTATGTGCATTTGTTTGTTTTACATAGATTAGTACTTTGTGTTACAGAGTAGCAATAAACTTTTGTTTCGTTTTAAGATCTGTGTTGGTGTGTTGTGTGCTTTATAAGTTAATGCCTCAGCTTTAGATTCTGCTACCTTGCTCATTAAATAATTAGATACTGTTTTTATATTGTTATTGTTGGCCACGTAATAATATAATACAGAATTGCTTTACACTAAACGTTCTATTTGCTGGACAAATACTAAAGTTAAGTGTAAGCTTTAAATAATTCTATGTGAATCATGTTCGAATCTTTGATTCGAATCCCCAAAGTTTAAACATGATTTAAACCAAAGAGCTGATTCTTACACAGGTCACTACACATGCAGTGGCGTAGCGCAAAATGCGGAGGCCCCCCTGCAGGGACCGCTGACGGGGCCCCCTGATGAAGCGGGGAATACGTCATACGTCAATTTGCATATCACTTACGTCATCACGTTTTACCGTTTCTGTTTAACAGCCTATGGTTAATAAAGGGGTATTTATAATTGCACTACACTTTATTTAAGCATGTTTATTTAACTAAATTTATTGCTGTTTGAATAAAGTATGTCATTATAGATATGTAGTGAATGTGCAGTAATCTCTCATATGTAATAAACTCAGACAAGTTCAAAAACTGTCACTAAAATATCTGAGATTGTGAACAAGAAAAGAATAAACGGTCCAATTAAATTGTTAAAATAAAGTAGAAGTAGATCGGTTAGACTGTACAAGGGAAATACCTTCACACTGCCTGTGCTAAATCATTTGTCGTCGGTACGCAGAGGGGTGATCTGCTCTCGGGCTGCAGGTGGGAGAGGCTGCTGTACGCGGACTGACTGGGCTGCCTGTCAGTGCTGTGAGGCAGGGGAGGGGCCGCCGACATCACACGCAGCTCGTTGAGAAGAGTAGGGACGGTACAGTATGGACAAATGACAGTAAAAAAAAAATCTCCAATAACACACAAAAAAGTCGCTAGATTTGTCGCTAGGGGGGTCTGAAAAGTCGCTAAATCTAGTGACAAAGTCGCTAAGTTGGCAACATTGGCGGCAAGCAATCAGAATGAAGTAGTCCACCGCTTGAGAGGTGTTCAGAGAACACAGACCTGTGAACTTTGGTTCCGACCACAGTTGTTCCCAAGAGTTTATTGAAAATCGCGACGACGAGTGGTCCCCTAATCACGTGGGGCTGCCCTGCGGGCCCGTCCGCTACGCCACTGTACACATGCCACTAGCGAGTGACACATGACAGTGGAAAACCGGACGTGCCACCGGAAGTGTCACTACACTCAGTGGCATGTGCCAGTGTCATCTGTACGTCAGATGTCGTGTCACTCCATGTTAAAACTGCTACTGGGAATCTGCGTTCAAGCGCACACAATAAGCTAAAACTCGCCCCAAGCACCGGCAAAAACAAATAACAATGAATGTGTCGAGGAAAGAGTAAGGACATATCTTAATTATTTATTAATAAACTTATTCTGAGTCAGTGTCGCAAAGATCCTGACTGGCAATCTCCTCTTGGACTCGCCTTTAGAGAGAAATTCATCTTTACGGATTACATGAAGGAGTTTTTTTGCTTTCGATTTGTTTTATTTCGTTAAGTAATAATTTAAAGCTTTCTATAAATATATTTATTATGTCTGTGAGGCATATACATTTTGCTTTATTTTGTTAAGTGCTCCTGTTCAAAAACCAGACGACAGAAAGCGCGTAATTTTGGTTTTCTTTATTTTATAAAAACGCTGTAACGTTTTTTGATGTATTACTCGTACTTTGTGAGCAAAAATGACGGATAACTTTAAATTGCTCCCACTGAAAAAATGCAAGTGATTGCTCTGGCGCCTCGATGTCCTGCAAGCTTTTCATAAGCAAACTATGCGCCTAATAGCACACATTCTTTAACGTTTAAGCTACCATTGTTTTATACTTG